CCTTAAATGTGTTCCAGACAGTTATGCAATGAAAATATTCAGTTTAAAAGAGGAGGTTGAGTTGAGTTGAGTCAAGAATTTACATCACAGCACTCAGTGTGTGCTCCATCCTCATCTTCAGCAGCCAGCGCAGAGTTCCAATTTTGATATCACCGGTCACAATCTGGTTATATGTCTGTCTTGCCTTTCTTCCGAGTGTAATGAGCCGGCCAGACCCACTGATTACGCCCATGTGCCTCATTCTCTCAATGCTGTAATAATCTTGTTTCTCGACGTATTCCGTTGTTTGTTCCCCAAAAGCCTTGACCACATCTGCCTTGTCATGTATCAATTCACCACCCAGCGGTGCAGATCCAGCCAATCTGTCTGCCTGTTCATTACCCACTACGCCGGCATAGCCTGATGAAAAGATGTAAAGTATGTTCACTACCCGTGACCTTCCCAGTGAAGCTTGCCATTCTGCTCGAAGCATCACTGTCTTTACCTTTCTCAGCATGCTTTCAGAGTCTGTTACAATTATGACATATGTATGCATCTTGTTCTCTAGTCACCGGAGAGCTGCAGTTACCGCCTCTACCTCCATTCTCATGCTATTTTACAATTATGCTTGGCTGCCTTGCACTAAAGAGGGAGTATGTAGAAAGAAGTCATCATCATCAGGTGCCTTGCCGACTGGCGCGGGCGACCATGCCTCTCCATAATCAGCGATCTCCTGCAGCATGTATCAGTTCGTGTGCCGATACACCTCCATTCCATGCAACAAGGCTGTCAAGTATCTTCTCTCGTTGTCTTCCTCTATCTCTCCTTCCACATATCTTTCCAGTGGTCACAACATGTTCTATTTTCCCTCTTCTCATAACATGGCCGAAAAATGATGACTGTCTCCCTCTGATGTCTGTGATAAGTTGTCTTCGGGCTCCCGTTTCTTTCAAACCCTTTTGGTTGCTCTTTTTGGCTGTCCAAGGTATTCTAAGCATTCTTCTGTAAAACCACATCTCCGAGGCCTCCAGAAATTGTTTGGCCTGCCTACCGATTGTCAAGGATTCACAGCCATTTGTTAAAACTGGATGTATGTAGCAAGCAAGAATTCTTTTTCTAACTCTCAATGACAAGGATATATTGCACAAGATGTTTTTCATTTTATCAAATGCAGTTTTTGCCTGTCCTATTCTGTTTCTTATCTCAGTTATGCATCTTCCATCTGATGTTATCCATGTGCCCGGATACTTAAATTTCTGCAGAAGTACACTAAAATAATTTTCTGGTGACGCCCCTGACATTAAATTTACGACTTCAGTCAGCATTGCACTCTTGTCCACTACACTTTATATTCACGTGATTGCTTCTTTTAAAATAAGTGAAGTATATTCGACACAATGGTTATACTGATGTTACTCAAAATTGAGTAAGAATTTGGAGAACAGACTAAGTGCCCTAAGATTTCACCGGCACCCAGCTTTCATACGCATGCGCGAAGTACATAGCAACGTTACTTGTGACAAGATGGCGACAAAGCATAGTCGACAGACGAGGGAACAGACAATTGCTAACTTGGCGAAAATTACTAAACGTTAGTTTGTTATTTTCTGATGTTTATCATAACTGTTTGTTAATCTCTGTCTGTTACTATTTACCATCTGTCTTTTAAAAGTAAATTAATATTTTACCCAACTTTGCCAGTATAATTAATTGGATGACAACTTTAACTGTCAAATAGTAATAGTATAGAGTATAGAAATAATTAAAATGTAGTATACTAGTAAACTCTTATTTTATTTATTTGAAAAATTATTTAATTTATGTCCATTTTACTTTCGGTCACTATTAATAATCGACCCTTATATGGGACGCAGTTTTTTAAGGGATGTGGAGGTTATTATTTTAAAGCCCAGTCATTATGGACCTTAAACATAACCTACGGGTTGAATAGGGTTTCTGGGACTTACGCCCAGGTGATTCTCATCCAAATGGTGACACTTTCTGAGTTATGTCACATAGTGTTTATCGCCTAGTATGTATCCTGGTTGGGTTGAAAGCCAGTCATGCATGTCACTGGTTTTATAATTCATCCCAGTATGAGACCCAGTTTCTTTTGTTATTTAAAAACCCCACCCCACCTGTCATTGGGGGCATTAATATTACCTAACAGTTGAACAAAGTTTCAGGAACTTGTGCCTGGAGGATTCTCATCCAAATGAATGGTGGCACTGGTTGTTTATCACTCATTTTATGTGGGGTTAAAGGTCACTCACTGACTGTGATTGCTTGCTTGGTGACAGTGTGGTTGAATTAAGAATTGACACCACAGCACTTGGGACACCCCCATAAGTGCTCCATCCTCTCTTAAGCAGCAGACAAAGAGTTTCAATTATGATGGTGGCAGTATGGTGACACTCAGGACGACACACTAGTTTGATAAGACACAGATGTTTAAACAATATTATTATATCTCTCTACTCCAAAAATCTATGTAAAGAGTGATTTAGGAATTTAATTATAACTCTGCCTTTCATCATCATCATCATCACTTTCCACTTCTGCCTTTAGGTATTGTGGGAACAGTTTGCAATCTTTTGCTTGATGGGCAGCAGAGGCTACTGTCATTCTGTGTCGATGTTGAAGCTCTTTAATGTGACCAATCCATCTTCTCCTAGGACGGCATTTTGCTTTCACTGTGAATCCTTTCATGTGTAGCGACTGCATTGGAAGTTTTTCTGGCTGCATTCTTACTTGATGACCAAACCATTTGATCTTAGTTTTGTCTCTTGTATAAATTTCACTGTCGTTGTTAGTTCATTCAGTGGTCCATAGAGTTTACGTTCCACTGTTGTTCTTTCTGGCCAAAAGGTTTGCCTTAATGTGTCAAAATCGGTGCAGTCCTGGAGTACATGCTCTGCTGTCTGGGGCACATTTCCACAGGTGCACATGGCTGATACACTTGCATATTGCCAATAATTTCCAGTGCTGATATTCTGTGCAACTTCAAGCCAGCATTAGTGGAATCAATGCTCCCTGTGTGGGTACCAGGAACTCTTGTTTCTTGGAAAACAAAATGAGTAAACCTACTGTCTCTACTACTTCTCCTAATTAGAATGTCTTGAAAGGTGATTGATTAGGAGTTTTGCCTAAATAAGATCTGTTGGGCTGAAAGGCTCAGATGTTGCAGCCTAGTTGTAAACCACAACACAGTGTGGCAGTCAACCTTTTAGGGGTGAGGACGAAGAAGAAGAATTGATCCATACAAGCAGCCAAGATCGGTAGAGAAGTAAAAACATGTTGGCCATCTGGCAAGGCAGATAATGACACACCCTAGTCTCTAGAAGTACTTCAGTGACCTAGACTGTAGAAGGCGTGGCAGGCAAGTAGCCATTGTGTGAATAGAAACTGAGCCATATAGGGTTGTGACTTAGTGCAGTAAAGTTAATCCTCTCTGTTTTAACTGTGAACATCAGTTTGCAAGTGAGGCTGATGTATCTTGGCTCACTTGCACAAACTCCAAGCTCCAGCAACAGTCCTCATGTGATCCCTTTAAAAACTGCACAATGAACTGAATGATGCATTTGTGAAATGAAGCCACGACTTTTGGAGCAGAAGCAAATGGTTTGATCATGTCTTCTTCTTCTCCTCCTCTTATTCTTCTTCTGCACTTTCTCTTTTACCAGTTCAGGTGTTGAGGAAGATGCAGGGTTCTGGCTCTTGCTCTTCTGGTCACTTCGACTGTAGACACTTTGTTCTGTTGTAGAGTTTTTCTAATGTTATCTTTCCATCTTGTTCTTGATTTTACCTTCTGCTCTACACGACTGTGCTATTTTGGTATATGCCTTGTACAATATAGTGTCACCTAACATTCTCTCTAAGTAGGAAAACCATTTTTTTTCATGAATTGACATCCCTCCATTACATAACAAAAGGCTGTTAAGAATCTTCTGATGTTGTCTTCCTCTGTTTCTCCTTCCAGAGATCTTTCCATTGGTCACATGTTCCAGTTTGCTGCTTCTCATTACATGACCCAAAAAAAGATGGCTATCTTTCTTGATGCTTGTGATAAGTTGCCTTTGAGACCTCGCTTCTTTCAAGATATCTGTCCAAGGAATTCTAAGGATTCTTTTATAATACCACATCTTTAAGGCCTCAAGAAATAAGAAATTGTTTGGCTTGTTTATTAATTGTCCAGGATTCACAGCTATATGTTAAAACTGTCTCTATATAGCATTTAAGAATTCTTTTTATAACCTCCAAGGACATGAATTTATTGCATAAAATGTTCTTCATTTGATAAAATGTAGTTTTGTTGTTCCTATTCTTTACTTTATCACTTTCCGTCGAATGTATTTTTATGTTATGCCACCATTAACAGTACCTGGCATATCTATGACAGATCTCGTTATATATTCACTGTGTAATAAAACAAATCAGGTAATAGTACACATCCTTGTCGTACGGCCCTGATAGTACACATCCTTGTTGTACTCCCCAATTTATGCTCTGAAATGTTCCTAAATGGTTGTTAATTCGTATAGCTGCTGTTTGTTGTTAATACAACTCTTTTGTATTATTTGTAGATCTTTCCCATCTATGTTTAATGTTTTCAGTAGTTTGATTATTTCCTCATGTTTCACATGATCAAATGCTTTTGTAAAGTCAATGAAGCATAAGTAAAGATAGGTCCTGTATGTATATTTTTTTTAGCAGCTCTTTCTAAAAGAATCCTTAGTATGTATCTTATACATCCTCCACCTTTCCATTTTCTGGAATGTATTTCATTGACTTTTTCTTCCAGTCTTATTATTTTGTAGGATGTATTTTATTACTTGATTATTTAGATTTCCTAATTTTGTAATCTGTTTTATTGATTTGATCATTCTGTGCTTTTAATTTTGTTATGTATTTGATTGACTTGTTTTTTTCAATGCTCTTAATTTATGGAATATAATTTATTGAATATAATTTATTGACATTCAGTATTCTAAATTTATTGAATATATTTGAATAACTTTCAGTGTTCAGAGCCTTTGACAGGAAATCTAGTGGGACACTCAAACTGGAAGATTATGTAATTGGTATTGCAAAATTTTTGAAAAATGGAACACTTGACGATCATATAAAATGTAAGTAAGCCTTGCTTATTAGAGAATTGTTAAATTTAAGGCTAGGCAGCATAGCTGTGGTAGGTTTTCCTTAGCCAAAGACAGCATTTGCATAGTCCTATCTATTGACTGTCTCCAGTCTGCCTAGAAGATAGCAAGTGTGCTATCTGACTTTATCTTGTTCCTATCTGTTTACTGTCTCCAGTCTACCATTCTTTGGTCCTGAAAACCTGTGGAGAAAAAGCCAAAGAAACCAGGATTCCCCCCCCCCCCCCCCCCAATTCTCCATAGACCCACACAATAAACCTTACAAACCAGCCATTTTACAATGGTACAAAAAAATGTATTTATAAAATTTTTCCAAATCTATTTTGTAATACATGAAATGGAATAATCAGTAAACCACAAATGGGGCTGAGCATTCAAGGAATACAGTCCATTGGTCCAAAGGAAATTATTCATTGACCTCATCACTAACCAACTGAGCAAGACTAAATGGTGAATTATGACTTTAAAAAAGCCATTTCTATTATGAAACAGTAATCTCCCCCCCCCCCCCCCCCCCCCCCATGCTATTTTTTTTTGTACAAATAATAATAATCAGCCCTCCTTAGCACAAACATAGTGCCATTAACTAGGCTTGGCAAGGACTGGCCAAAGACGTAACACCACAATATATATACCATATGGATATTTGTAACGGCTGATAAAGTTGAAATATCACCTCCTTAGGGCCGAAGGACTTAAGACCATAGGTCCATGTGTTTTCACTTTGTCAAGGGTTATCCATAACTTGTAAAAACTGAGAAAGTCTGCCAGTATGTACGCTGTCTGTAAAATAGTTCTTGTGGTAACTTGGGCACACAAGTATCTTGTAGCAGAGTGACAATTATCGTTTTAGAGTTCGCTAGCGGTTAGCATTGTTTACATCCCCAATTTCACCCAGGATATATAGGTGACTGATGGGAAAAGAACAGGCAGACAGACTGGCATTTTCTGCACCCTTCTGAGTATAAATTGATATATGACAAGCCAAGGTGTGGTCAAGGCCCTTTGGGAACAAGTGAACAGTGTGGAAGCACAAATAGATCACTACAGTCTAGAGTGAATGGTTCAGCAAGTAATGACAATGGTATCTGGCTAGCACTTAGAGGAAAGACAAGACATAAATAAGTCAAGGAGGTACAGATGGCATTTGGAACTTTTCATTGGCTGCTGAAAGTTCATGCTTAGCTTGTGTCCTGAGTGCAGTGGTATCTGTCTGTAACTCAGCTTTTTTTAAAAACAATATAAAAAGATTATATTTTTTGGTTTTATTTATTTTATTTCAAGCAAATTCTTTGATAATTTTCATCTTCCAGTATGTTTTGATGTGTATGATCTAAATAATGATGGCTACATCATGAGGGAGGAGATGTTTCAGCTGTTGAAGTCGTGCCTTATAAAGGTTTGTTTAGACTTGCTTGTCAGTATAAACAATAGGTTCACCGTTGTAGATGATTTTTAATTTTTATAATTATTATGTTTACACTGCTTCTCAGAAGCTGAAATATTTTGGTCATTGGAAAGAATTATAGCAGAAGGCATGGTACCAGGAAGGAGGGGCGGGGGCCGACCAACACAAAGATGAGCACAGGATATAAGTGACTCCTTGAGAATGAAAGTGCATGAGGTGGGAGAGCTGGCGAGAGACCGAGTTTCTTTCAGGCAGACTGTGATGAGAGCGGCGTTCTGCAAAGGACCTGCTACATGATGATGACACTGCTTATTTTGAAAAATAGCAGTCACTAAAAAATTAAAAAAGTAAAAAAGAAAGAAAGACAAAGCCTTTGAACTTGAATGTTGTGGGCAGTAATTTCGGTCGCAACACAAAGGAAAGGTAGGCCGTTGTGATGTGTATAAGTAGATACTTTATACCTTACCTCGAATACAAGCAGGCTGCGCTGGTTTTATGGATCCTCATGCAAGAATCGTGCCACACATCCTCTTCATGCGCTGCAGATAGTGGTCTTTTCGGTGTAAACCGAGCTGACAGTGGATTTCAGAGTTGGTGGGCCCCATAGATACGGTGCTCAGAAATCCGCTGGCACTCATCAGCCCACTTCCGGGGCATGGGTGATAATAAACATAGAAAACTAATTTGCATCATGGGTAAGTACAGCTAGGGCATGAAAATGTTTTGACAGAGATCTGGTGCAAGACCAAGACTTTTTGATGACCATGATAATAGAAACATTCTACAGAGTTTCTGCTTTTTGATGTTCACTTAAAAAATACTTTTGACTAAGCAGTATAAATAACTCTAATGTGTGATGATGATGGCCTATGGGATACATTCCTGAGCTACAGATTAAAAAACTTCCTTTGATTAAAATATGGAATTTGCAAGCAGATAGACTGGCTGGTTCTGCACCACTTGGTGGTGAACTGATGTATGGCAAGCTAGATGTTGTGAGGGCCCTCAGGGAGCGAGTGAACAGTGCGGAGGAGCAGATAGATCATTACGGTCTGAGGCAAATGATGCTGCAAGGAGTAACCAGGGGATCTGGCCGACGCTCAGTACTCAAGGGAAGGGCGAGTTGGATATACATTCAGACAGTTACTGGTGCCATCAGAATTGGAACTGTTTGTTTGCAGCTGAAGATGGGGAGGGAGCGCTTATGGGGGTGTCCCGAGTGCTATGATGTCGATTCCTAATTCAACATTCAACATTTTTGATTAAAATATTGCTTTGCTCACAAATTTTGTCACTTATGTTTTGCCAGTTAGTGTAGAAAGTTGTCTGAGTTTTTTTTTTTAGCAAGAATTATAGGAGGGTAGAGTCCCCTATGTTGTGAATTACGGACTCGTAGAAGATGTCGAAGTCGACTCAGTCTAAAATAGGTACCTGGTAATGTCCTGGGGAATAAAGGTGGCTGGCATAATGTTAATCACATGACCCACAGAGTGCTTGCTATTTGTTTATTTAAAAGCAAAAATCTGGCATCATATGCTTAATGAACAAATGGTGTTTAAAGAAAAAAGGTTTTTTTTTTACTTTACTTACTAACAATAAAACATCAAAAACCTGTGGAGGAAATAGTCATAAATTAGATATGATCTTCCCTGTGTAGATTCTGGGGGTGGAGAGGGGGGGGGGAAGAAGAATAGACACCACCACACCCCCCTCCCCCGGCAAATATGTGTCATATGATTAATGAGGTGCGTTTCCTTTGAAGTTGGTGTGCATCTACCTGAGAGGTGAGGAACCAACAGTCTGCATAAAAATATACCAGATCGGTCCAGGCAGTAAATTGTGTCACTTTGGTGGGGCACAAGGTGGAAGAGCAGAAGAAGATGTAAATTTTTTAATTTATTGTTTGTGTCCGCATTATTTAAAATACTTGCTGGTTTTTTAAACACTTTCAATAGGCTCCTACAGAAGAAGATCCAGATGAACTAGTCAAAGAGCTTGTGGATATTGTGATGAAAAAAATGGTCAGTTTGCTTTACAACATTATCCAATTTAAATGGAGGATTTAGCTAATTGATTTTCCTTAATTTTTTTAATAGCTCTGTTCTCGTTTTTTACATTTGTCAAGCAAATAGTGTTTAAACAGCTGCTCGCTTTAAATATAATATTAGCTCTTACTGACACAGGGCTCTAGGTTACATTATTTAATTTAACTGTCACAGTTGCCCTAACTGTAGCTTTTTACGAGGTTGAATGAGTGGTTTGGGATGTGCCCTGTTTGTGTGCCATCACCCATGATGGTGGGGGGGGGGGGGGGGGGGGGGGGGGTAATCAGATCATCAGGTGACAACTTGGAGGGAGGGAAACACTCAGATAAGTGAAAAATATAGGGTAACATTTTGTGATGAGTATTGTCAATAACAGGCTTATTGTAAGGATTGAATTATCAGCTTCAACTGTTTGCATATAATTTGCAGAGAGAATAACTGATTATTCCTTTTAGGATACCGTATTAAAGTAAGATCATTCTAGCACACTAGAGGATTTTGAGTGAGTAGATGATGATAAATAAAGCTTTTTGTGGACGTATCACCACTTTAGTTGAATATTGTTTCGTTTGTTGGGAAAACAAATTTGCATGAACCAGTTTTGAAAAACTAGAATTAGCGAAATGGAGTCATTTAGTCTTAGAAATTTGGAGTGGTGTTTGGATAATTTTCTGATTTGTTTTAAATTATTTAGATGTGATACAATATTTAGGTGATTTTTCTATACCAAATGATAAGGGAAAAGGTCTAGAACGGTATTTCTACTCTGTCGTTGATGAATCTCATCTAGATAGTGACAATACTCTTGATATTGTGATTGATAATGCATGTACCACACCTATTGCCGATAATATAGGTTATGAAAAAGTTGAAAAAATGTTTCATTCGGATCATCCCTGTTTCGATCAGCTGTTTCAGGAATCTTGTTGTTGTGAAATTTGACATGTCATACAAAAATCAGCAAAAAAAATCCAAAGTATTTAAAATAATTGTTTCAAATGAAGACTGGATGATGCATAATTGAACAGAGGAGGCATATGAAATTTTAGAAATAGATAGCAATTTTTTGAACAAGTAAAAATAAGGTAAGCACAACATTTCATGTGTAAACAATCTTCATATGTGCCTGACATCCTTGAATGTTGTAGGATTTTAATAATTTTGTTTTTGTCACACTGATACATAAATAGTTTAGATTTATTCTGCTCTCATTTCTCAATAACTTGATATATTATAAGTCCTCTACAACCAATATTTTTCTTTAGGAAGGCTTTAGCCTTGTCATGTTGCAGTACACAATTTCAGTTTAAAATTAATGCTGTTGAAACCCCAGAAAAAATGCTGTTCTGAAAGAGAAAGAAAGGAATTTTAGAACAGAATAATGGTAAACAGGGCATAGTAAGAAGCAAATAAAATTTGAATTGTTTATGAATATTGCATTGGTTATTTCTTAGTCAAGTCCAGTGGTTTTCTTCAAGGCTTAGATTTGTAGAATAAGTCCTGGCTAATTTCATAATGCAAATCTACCTCTCTACTGTGCTAAGGACCATGACCACGATGGGAGAGCCTCACTGAGTGATTTTCAAGCAGCTGTATATGAAGACAAGCTTATGCTAGAAGCTTTGGGAAATGTCTGCCGACGACAAGGTAACTGTATTTCATTATGGAATCTTATTCTTCTTCCCGTTCCCTCCAGCAGAAAGTTCTGGTTGTTGTCCACTGCTGCACTCTAGTCCAGTTTCAGTATCTGAGTATTCTGTGTAAATCTGTTTTACAGATATGATCAATTTGTATGCAGACTGTGGGTTCCTTGCCTCTCAGGCAGATACACCCTGACTGCGAAGGAAGTTCCCAGTCAGTCGACTCTTATGACATGCGTGTTGGGTAGGCAGTGGGTCTGTTCTTGCTTTTCCCCCCTTTACAATTATGTAAGATGTAGCCCTTTACAAGATGGAAAACATACACAGTAGAAAGATATCAGCTGCGATAAAAAAATATGTCAGTGGCAGTGAGGGAAAAAAAAAAGTTTCAAAGTGCAGTTTGGAAGCTGCACTTTTTGTTACATGCAGGTGGAACTTGGATAATAAGCAGATAAGAAAAGAAACATCTAATGGCAGCAGAAATCTGGCATCTGAGGAAAGGGGAGGTAAGTACCATGTGCTGACAGAAAAACAAGCAAGGTGGTCCTCCAAGACAGACATGAAAAGAATAAACTGTTTAGAGAAGTCAGACATAGACAGTCAACATTTTGTTTGGCTATGCTATGAAAACTTAGTGATAAATGACAAACTTTATGGGAAAAGAGCAAGAAAATGAAAAGAAATACCTAGAGGGTTTGGTCACATGGCATAAGCAGGACAAGAACACTTACTTGATTTGAGACTATAGTGAATCATTACTTCAAGCACTTATTGGCAAGATGATGATGATGATAAATTTCTGATTTTATTTTCTGTTAAAATCCATTATTTAAAAATTCAATGAGAAGTATGCAGTCGTCATTGCAGACGTTTATGTTTGGCATGTCTGTCCTGTAATTTTATTCTGAGACATCCCTGTGTCGGTTTTGGGCCTCATGGCCTGACAAGGCAAATGTGGTCAAGGCCCTTTGGAAACAAGCAACGAAAACAGTAGAGAAACAAGATTATTATGGCCTGGAGAGAATGAGGCACTTGGGTGTAACCAGAGGGTCTGGCCTGCTCACTACACTCAAGGGAAGGGCGAGACGGACATATAACCAGATTGTGACCAGTACCATCAGTATTGGATCACTGCGCTGGCTGCTGAAGATGAGGACGGAGTACACATGGGAAGGCCCCGAGTGCTGTAATGTCAATTCTTGTCTCAACTCAGCTCAGCTCAACTCAACTGGGCCTCATTTTGGGGTAAACAAGAACAGACCCACTTCTCACCTATCAGGCGTGTCATAAAAAGTAAACTAATTTGGAATTTGTTCCTTCAAAGTTAGAGTGCATCTGCGTGAGAGACAAGGACCAATCGTTTGCATACAGATAAGCCAGATCTGTAAAATGCAAGTGCACACAAAACTGAAGTTTAGGAAGAAGGCAGAAGTCCGAAGTTGACAAACAACCAAAACTTTCCGCTAGAGTTTACATTTTCAGACATTTAACCCTTACAGAAATTTAGCTAGATAAAGATATGTCAACATTCAAAACAGTATTCTGAAAGTAATGGACACATTTGTGTTGTTGCTATTCATGTTGATCACCTTGGAATTCTGTTAAGAAAACTTGGTTAAAGGCATTAACCAAGTTATTTCTTTTTTTTTTATCCTAATGTTTTTAAATTTTTATATCACCTTCCAGTGCAAGATGACGTTCCGGGAAATGATTCGGATGTTTGCAGATGGCAAGTACAACCCATCAGGCTCAGTCAGTATAAGTGAACAAAGAGGTCAGCATAGCAAAGGAAGACGTGTGGGCACAACCATCTAACTAGCAGATTATCACAAGTTACAACAGAATAGGCAAAGATGCACAGGGTGCAACCATCTAACTATCCGATTGTGAAAATGTACAAAAGAATAGGGAAGATGTTTCCATCATATAGAAGATGTGTAAATGCAACTATCTAATTAGCAGGTGATCAAAAAGTGCAGCAGAGTGTGTGAGGATATATGGGTGCAACTGTCTAAATAGTAAATGAACAATTGTAATAGGGAAGGACCAGCCAGGCAGCAGAAAGTGTGCTTGCAGAGTAATGGAGTTGGGAAAAAGAACCGTATGGCAACCCTCCCCTCTAGTATCTGTCATCTGCTGTCCATATTGCTCAAAAACTATCCAAGTTTGAAACGGATTTATCAGCCATTTTTGTTCTTATTGTCATTCTTTTTTTCCACATCTAGATAGCGGTTGAGTTGTTTTAATCACTGGTGATGGAAAAAAAACAGAATATATTGTCATACTGTGCAGACTAACTTTCTAACCAGCAGTGGAATTGCCACATCTATATTTTCTACTAAGTGTTTTTATGCATTTGTAAAAGCTTATACCATGGTTGTTTACAAATTGGAGTCATATTTCTGTTGACGATGGTTTATATTAAATGTTCATATGTTAATTATGTGCTAGCAGTAATAAAGAAAAGGAAAAACCACAGCAGTAGGGGAGATAAAGAAAATTGCGATTAGGACCAAAAGTAATAGTTCCCCGCTGAACAGCAAAAACAGGAAATTAAAAAAAGACAAGAGTTCTTCTCCACAGGGATCCTAGAATATTCCACCACAACCCAGACAAAGAATATCTGTTTTGTGAGTTATATGATAACACCCTAACTGCATGGCTACATTCACCTAGATGAACCACATGCACGGACTACAGATCCTAAATTGAATCAAGCAAATGAATTATAATCTTCACATTAAACAGCTGTTTATTTTACTGAACTGAACACAAAATTAACTATACTTCACAGATAATACATTAACAACAACCAAGGTGCTCTACCGGAATCTTAAGTGCTAATCATCTCCAGCAAACAAGGAAATATGATAATGAACGCATACACTCAGAAAAATTACCTCAACAATAGCAAAAACCGAAACATATTTGATACGTACATTAGAGCTACTCACACAGTTCTTAATTACTAGAGACAAATTGAGATCTAACTACAGAAAGGTACACCATCATGAAATCAGCCAGGCAACCGGTCTTCCCCTTGAGTTGCCCCTACCCACGCTGTTTAGCCCAATGTGCTGAGGCACAACAGCTAGTTTTCCAGGTCTTGTGCAACCGCATGTTCAGTCCGGTAGCCAAAATGAGGCTGATTTTGAGTCAGCTGGTTTTTTTTTTTTTTAAACAGTGGCCAAGTTTCTTCGCATTTGCGAATCAACTAAATCAAGGTATTTGTCATTGCACACTAACAATTAAATTATTGTTACAATTCTTACTTCTTGACTTAAGACCACCAAAAATGAATAAAAAGAAATAGTAATTTCAGTTTGTATTTTTGTTTACAGTACGTATAACACAATACATGTAATGGATTTTTCACATTATGTAAAAAAATTATACATACATAGATTAAATTTTTGAGTTTTATTTAAAATGTTAGTGTTATTTACCTATTAGAATGAAAATAGTATTGAAGAATACAAATTTGACTTACGACCAGTTTGTCTTACAACCTGTTATTTGGATAAGAACATAGTAATAAGTCAAGGAAACTCATCTTAGTATCTGGATTCAGCAACATATGATGTGTTATTTTTTCTTTTTATGTTTGATCTAAGAATACTGAAGAAATTTGATAAATATTTTAATGTGCAGCACAGCATATGTTGCTGCTTTAAGACTTATATACTTTGTTTTTTCTTTATTGTTATTGCACAAGTGTATTTTTATTGTGTTTTTTTCTGTGGCTATTGCAGACTTATATACTGTTTTCATTCTTTACAGTTATTGCACACCTCGAACACCTATGGGCAATGTTCTAAGGCTGAAAGAGGATGCACTGTTCTGTTAGGAATGTAATTCTGCTGAAGTTTAGACATTGTTTTGTTCTTGCCTTTTTACCATTTTACTTGCCATGGATTTTGATTTAATAGTTTTAAGGTTTCCATAGCTACTTTTACAGGTGCTCAACTGGGTTCCATCCATGATATTGACATAATTGCACAGGTTAGAGGAGGACGAAGAATAAACTGTGAGCCCTGTATGGCATATAATGGCATAAAAGGATGATGATGTTGATGATAATATAGCCTATTTTTAATCCACTTGGCTTATTATGGTTTTTTTTTTTTGTTGGGGGGGGGGGGGGGGGGGATGTCAACCCTATGTCACAGTTCTAATTTTTTGCCTCTTTATATAAAGTCCTCCTTAAAAAAGTCATTTGGTGTATATTGCTTTAGTATTGTTTATGTGCTTATATATTAAACATTTGTACATATTTTATGTTATAAACAATATTATTATATCAGGATCCAAATAAAGATCTTTTCTCCAATAAACAGCAGTATTGAAGATTGTGTTGATGTTGATACATTTATTGATGATTTATTCTTAACCTCAGCTTATTGTTAGCAGCCGCTGTGGTGTAGTGGTATACACTTGCATGCGGACGAGAAGGTCGTGGGTTTAATTGAGCTAGATTTTTTTTTTTAAATGGCCTTGGCTCCCAAATCGACCCAGCTTTAAATGGGTACCAAGTAAATTCTTTGGAAGTAAATGTGGCTAGCATGATGTTGACACATCACCCACTTAGTGCCAATAAGTAAAAAAAAAAAGTAAAGGGCCTTTTTCCATACCTTTAGGCGTATAGGGCATATATGACTAGACCTCTATTTTTTATAGACCAATCAGCACAACATGGGTAATGGGGTCAGCATCACGCCTGAGTGCCAATGGTCTATTTTAAAAAAAAATAGGTCTAGCCCTATATGTCCAACACGCCTACAGACATAGAAAAGGGTCTTGAACTTTTTACTTACTTAAAGTTAAGAGTTAAGTTAGCTTCTTGGTACTCATGATGTCCATAGGTACTCAGAGCACTCTGACAACATATACATCATTGTTCCTGGTAATAATATCATTCTTAAGCTGGTTGACAAGACTTCTCCTAGGTCAGGTGTGCCTGGCTGTGACAGTCTTTACTCCTAAAATTCTCCAGTCATCTTATCTAAGTCCATTAACAACAAAACCAGCGTGAGCAGCGCTGGCCAGCCCATCAGCTCTTTCATTGCCAACAGCAACTTGGAAAAAGAGGTAGGTAAATGAGATAGAGTGAATTTAAGGAACACTGATGTGTGTAACTTTTGCTGGCATAAATTTAGTTTCAGGCCTTCCTTAAAACAAAACCCACGTAAAACATTAAATGAATGTTTTTTTCCACCACCCCCGTCTGCCTTATTTTTGTTCAATGCCTCTCAACTGCACCAGAGGCTATCACCCCCTAGACCGTTCCAGCCTAAGGATCCTTTCTAATCAATAATCACTTGATGTTGATATTCCACCTTTCTGTGTGGTTAAACTTCCCTGTAGGCTGGTTAAGAGTCACTGATGTGGTATTGGTCTGAACATTGATTGTGATGAGTGAGTGTATATGTGAAGCTCTCCACGATCCATCTTTGGACCAGTTATAGTAATGTCAAAACTGTGTGAAGTATGGGTTCTTTTATTTTATTTCACATCATCTCAGGGACTCAGAGATTTGATAGTGAATTTCCGGGAAATTCCAGTAGTATGTGGTGTTGGGTTGTGAAATTAGCACTGACTAATACTAACCCTAAACCCCTTCCCCATAATAAGGACTTTCCCAGGAGATCCCTACGAAATCTCAGAGTCCCTGAGATGGGGTGAAATTAAATAAAAGAATTGAAGTGTGAATGTGTCTATGTGCAAAGCTTTCTACTGAGGGGCTAATGAACATAGAAAATACAGGAGGGAGAGGGGTGAGGAACCATCAGTAAGATATTAATAATAATAATTATAAAAGTGAAGTAAAATAAAGTAAAGATCCCTTTTCACGCCTAAAGCGCATCGGGCATATGGAAAGAGCATCCCATATTTTACAGACCAATCATCACGGTGGGTAATATGTTCAGCATTACGCAAGCCGACTTTACTTCCCCAGGACAGACATCTTGGTACCCATTTTAGGCTGGGTCAACCTGCGACGCCCCATCTATATATATAAAAATCAATTTTTCTGTGTTTGTTTATGATCTATAGACTCGGAAACTATTGAACCGATTTAGCTGAAATTTTCAGGATATGTTTGTTTTGATATCGGATTTTTACCCGTCATGGTTTGAAGTTATACCTGTCATTGTTAGAGACAGGTGACTACATTTGTTAGGAAAATTTTCGAAACTAATATTTCTATTATTGTGACATTCAATGAAAGCCACGTTCATAAATGCGCATGCGCAGTCAGGACGCTCCATTTTTCCAACCATTCGCCGGCGTGATGCAACAAACCAAACTATCTCTATATCGCTGATTGCGACGTTAACCATATTAGACACGGTTTCTATTTTCTTTCTTTTCAAACAACCTTCGATGAGTTAGAGAGTAGTCGGTGGATTTGAGAAAGGGGAGGGGGGGGGGGTGGGGTGGCGATCAAAGACTATGTCTGCGCAGATAAAGATTGCGACATTTACCGTGTTAGACACGTACAATTTCTATTATTGTGCTGTTTCAATATCTGGGATATCTATTTATGAGAAAACAATTGCCTGCGGTTTTGAGTTATGTTAGAATCGGGACACACATTTATAATAGTTTTGTTCTCTTTTCGTTGATTAGACAAAGTGGTTGGCTGGCCGAATGCTTAGTACACTTGGTTCCCGTGCGGGAGCTTAGAATTCGAATCCCCAGTACGTCTTGTTTTTTTACCCGAGGGGCCAAATAAAACCCTGACCTGCACTGTCGTGGCCACAGA